ATAATAAATATAAATATATACATATTTCTATTTCCTTTGTCACAAACAGATTGAAATCCTTTGTGTTCAAAGGCAACAAAGAAACAGGTGTACTTCTGACTTCTGGAAATGAAAGCAATTTTAAAAGTATAGTATAATAATATATCATATATTGCTCCTTTGCTCATATATTGCTCTTTTGATCATAAATCGTGAACCACTTGAGCAAGTGTTATCAAATTTGGCTTATAGGCTATTCAATAGTATGCCCTAATAAATATATTACTAAAACTATTATGTTTACATATAATATAATGTATTTTGTCTAGTTATACTGCGACATGTTTTAGATCTTTAGATAAGCTTCTCAGGCCCACTGTGCTGTGGCTGTATCAAAGTCAGCTGCTCGCTCGCTCAATCTTCAAGCATTAGCTGCTCTCTAATACTAGTCGAAGTGTTTTCTTCAGATAAGAGACCCACTCGATTCGATTAGATATCGTTCAACTGCTCCACATATGACAGCAACTATCGCTCGAAATGTTTTCTGTGTTTAGTTTGAGCAAAAGTTTGGCATAAAGTGAACTCGATTTGAATAACGTTCAAGTAGAATAGCTTATGAATAATGAGTAATGGGCACGTGGATGAGCTAGGCTCTACAATGGACCTCTAATGAAGTTTCCGTACACCTGCTCTGGCATGTCTGCCGCCAACTTTTAATTGCCTTTGATGTGCGAAAGTTTTGTGTTAATTTAAAAGTTTTCTTTTTCGTTCAATCCAAATTGGTTGCGCCTCGCTGTTGTTGTTGCTGTTGTTGCTGTTGCTATTAAAGCAGGGGCCTGTTAGCATTTGAGCCGGGCCTTAAAGTCCTCGCGACAGTCAGTGGCAAACGGACCGCAAAAACCGCAAATGAGGCAAAACCCTTCGACAAACACAAATCACAATCAATTTCAAAACCTTTGACAAAAGTCCAAAACCAAAAAACTCAACCATTTTTTTGGGTCCCGACAAAGTTTTTGGCCCAACAACAGACAAAGAGCAAACACAGCAGGGAAAATATCGAAAACAAATATTTAGCAGAAGACAAAAATCAAGCAGAGACTAGGGGTGTAGCCGGACACGTCATGCTCGCTCAGTCTTTCAATCAGACTTTAATGAATAAAGGACTCTCTATCAAACGATATACTCTATTCCCCAACTTTAGTATACTCTCCTCTGGCATCGTAGCTCTCCTTTCACATGCCAAACGAGTGTGATGGGGACAATATATTCAAGGCACAAGCAACCAATATACCCACTTGGGAGCTCGCCACAGCAAGCATCATCAATAGTTGCGTTTGTCCTTGAAAAGCTAAGGAATTCAATGAAACTTTTTAGTCTACTAGTAAAATGATACGATACTCTCTTCTTGCGCAACAGGAACGAGTATGATTCAAGCAATATACCCACTTGAAAGCTCACTCTAGCAAGCTTTAGTATTTAGCTTGTCAAATGAAAATTTACTGAATTACATTTCGCTTTTCCCACTTGATTTCTTTGCTAATTGCACTCAATTAAGGGAAGCCACAGGATGCCAAGAGCGCCAAGAATGCGATGGGGTGTATCTAATATCTGATGCCCGCTTTAAATGATTTCACACTCGATTGGCAATCAAATCAAGTGGAATCGCAAGTCAAGAAAAATGTCTCAATATCGGAACAGAGAAATTAACACGCTGCAGAGTTAGCTAGATTTTCCTTGAAGTGTATAAGAGAACCCAAATTGAATGGCTGTAAGACACTTCAAGTCTAAGCAATATGCTCGCCTTTGCTGCCTGGGCGGGCATAGCAGAAAACCCCCAAATTCCGAAATTAGTTAAATGTATTATTCTTTGCTCTTTGCAGGCATCGCAGAGCAAATAAATGGAATCCAAATAAGAGACTACCCGAAAAGGGGACACGCAACATTAGAGAAAGCAAACAATAGGCCAAAGGACACCAACAACAACAACAACAACAACAGCAACAACAACATCTACGAGATGGATAACAATGATGAGCTGATGGACAGCAGCTACACTTGGAGCAATTGGAGCACTTATGCTCCGGCTCTGCTCTACACTGCACTTAATAGCGTCCTATTGGAGGGCAATCAAACCCCGTCGACGAAACAACCCGATCTGAGCTACAATCTGAGCAGAATGTAAGTGTCTAGTGGGGTGTGCTCGACTAGCCGATACTCTGCATGGTATACAAATATTACTGCCATTATTATATACCTAAATATAGATAGAGACAAGAGCACACACACATACATACATCAGCGGACGCATTTTATACTTGCAGTACTCTATGCTATGAGTTGTAGTCTGATTGAACTAGGGCTCTAGGATCACTATGTTGATGAAATTTTGAGAATATAATTTTGACCATCTGAAATGTATGCATACATAATTTCATGTTTCTAGTACTTAAAATATGAAAATTGCCTTTAATTTTAATAATATTGAAGAAAGGTACATAAAATTCTATTGTAATTGTCTTTTTATCGAAAAAGTTGATGCCAAATTTGGTGTCTTTACCTTGAAAGCTCCCAAAGTTATGCTTATAAAAACAAATTCAACATATCGATATTTATCGATGTCATGAAAGCAGTATGACTTATCGAATATAGCTTATTCGCATACCATACTATTCATTGTTAGTCTAGCTTTTGTATTCTCAGTCAGGCTAACATATACAGATATCCCTTAAGGGGCACAAAGATCCATAGCATCACCAATATGCCCAACGATTAGCCAGGAATCAGCATAGAGTAATGTCTAATTATGATACAAATTGAATTAATGCACAAGGCACGCACAACATTCGAGTCCAAATGAGGGGGGATGTAGCTGCAGCCCACTCCTTCAGATTCGCTTTGCGCTTTGGATTCGAGCACCAGGTCGGCTTTCGCCTTGGCTTTGTGTGTGCGCTGCCAGCCATGCATATCTAATGACGCCTCATTGCGGCATCCATTCAGCGCTTCACTCGGCTCCCGCCCACTCGCCCGCACTCAGTCAATCAATCAGGCAGTCAGTCATTCAATCAGTCAAGCATTTCCGCTCAGCTCAACCCGCTTTGGCTTTTTATTTCCGTTTCAAATACATTTCATTGATGGCCATAACATATACAAACACATCTATACATATATTCTGTATGTAATACATTTCACATCTATCAATGTGTGTACTCCAGCTCCACATCCACCTCCTCCTCGTACCTCTTCTTCTTCTTAGTATGGTGCCCTGTCGCACACTTAAAGCACTCCCAGCGGTAAGAAGGTCATATGTTTTGCCATCAAGTAGATTTCATCTTGAGTTTTCTGCAACCAGTAAAAGTATTGCTCGGGGGGCTTAACCACGAAAGTGGGCAGTTTGAACCACTAAAGTCGGCGTGGGCGTGGGCGTGGTAATCCACTCTTCTTTTTTTTACCTTTGTAAAGCCTCGACTGAGTGGTATTGTTGTAGTAAATCTTTTATACTCATTTGCTTTGGTTTATAGTGTAGGAATTGTTCTGGGCTTGCGGGTTTGAGCCATAAAAGTGGGAAAATAAATATTTTTTCGCTTCCTAGATGTACTTCTGTGTCTCAGCTATTATACAATCGTTTCTTTTTATTTGATTTGCCAAGCTGTTTAGGAATTGCGAACTATTTCCGTAAAGTCCTCTAATTTACTTGTCTCTTAGTGTATAAAACGAATGAGATTCAGGATTCACTTCATTCTATAGCTAATAGCTATAGCTAAAGTAGTTTACTATATTTTCTATAGTTTAAGTCACTAAAGTCAGCTACTGCAACTAAACCATTTAGCTTTCCGATTAGTTTGAAACACAAAAGGGAATACCTCTGACTACAAGTCCTATAGGACCTACGCCTTCGCCTTATATTTTGTTTCTTTTCCAGCTGTATAACATCAACTGATTATAAGAAATGCTCTTTCCCTGCTTAGCTCGAGCTACCTATCTAGGGGTATTTCAAAGTCGAGCATTCCCCGTATTCAATATTTTATATGTTTTTTAACGACAGCGAGGACCGTCGACTTACTGCAGCACAAATTTGTTGATTCCCTCAAGACATACACATACACGCCCACACACATACACAGAAGCACTCAGAAGGAGAGTGAGCTGAATATGATAGTCCTTTATGGAGTATTACTTCCAAATAATTGCTGCGTTTGACGTGCCTCAAACTTGTTTACGACATGGTCCATAGACAACTCAACTGGGTTCAATAACAGACTCTAAGTAGGAATTTATATTTGGCAACTGCCTCTTCTGCTTCTTCTTCTTATTCTTATTCTTCAATGTTATTCTACTTAACAAAAGTTTATTTTGTTTGGCTTTGCCAGCGCGAGGCAGGCTCAATGCAAAAATAAAGACGAAGAAAACCCGAAATCAAAACAAGAAAAAATATTTTAGGGACTGATTTTACTTTCATTGCAAGTACGCATAAAATTGGATGAAAATGTTCACCATAAGCTTGCAAAAATATGTCGGAAAAGGTAGACTAAAGTAACGCGGAAAGGAAGAGTCTATAGTATGAATAAAATGGAGCGAGAAGGGGAGAGATGGGAGATATAGACAGACGCACAGAAACCAAGAAGAAGAGAGAGAGAGTGAGTTAGAGAGAGATAGATAGAAGAAGAGAGAGACTGAGGAAGAGATAGGAAGCAAAAGAGTGTATGGGAGAGGTAGAGTATCTATATCCAACCATCTCACATACGGAGTATCCTTCAGTGCAGCGCGCTCCATACGAGCTGCTCACTTGACATTTTCATGTGCCTGCGGCTGTGGCTGCTTGAAATTGTTTTCTTAATAATTTCTTTATTTTTGATAAACTTTTTTTGTTTTTCTTCCTTTTATGCGGGTTATTCTGGGTTGCTCATAAAAATCAATAATCCTCTTTGCACTAGGCCAATAAACAAGCTAGGAGATGGGCAGGGCACAGAGTATGGGGGCGTTGAGAAATTTGAATAGTCCAACGATGATGAAAAATATTTTTAATTGTCTCGATGCGATGGGCGAATGGACTAATGACTAGCGACCGCAGCTGGCTACTGACTGGACGTGGGCACGCCCACTTTCGCCTTAAATGTCATCAACGAGTGAAAGATGGAATGAAGGGGGGGGGGGGGGGGGGGCAGGAGAAGGGTGTAGTCTGAGCTCACATATTAAATGACATGTACGCGTGTGGCTGCTAACGAGCCGAGCTTAACACGTGGCCCGATTTACGGACGTTGACAGCCCGTTGATGGCCCTGCAACAGCCTGTGCGAGGCCTCTTAAAACAAAACCACAAAATCTATGTGTGCTATATGTGTGTGCTGTGTGTGTGTATGTTTGTGAGTGTGTTTGCTGCCTATTTAAACACTTCTAAGCACACACACACACACACACACGCCCACGCACACACGCTCTAAATAAACAATCAGAAAAGCAGAATATTAACAAATAAGAACTAGACAAGTGCAGGGCATAACTGACTGCCAAATACCCGTCCATAGGCACTTGAAGCTGGATGACAATGTTATGATATCATAGTGCTGGAAGTAGTACACATATGCCACGCCTCTTGCGGGCGTATCTAATCCACTGAAGATATATTAATGAGCTATGCATATACACATACATACATATATCAAATGTCAAGCCTCTCGCTTCTAGATTTTCAGCATTTACCATATATTCCATTACACATATTCCAAATTTCAAAGCCCATATGCTCACTCCCTTCATGTCCGCTGAGCGTGTGTAAAAAGATGGCGACGAGTGGGAGCCGTAAAGCAGTCTGAACCTCAGCTTTTATGAATAACAACAAAACCGACAAGGATTTGTTAACGCACGCACAATTACATACGCCTAATATCCTGCCAACAGCCACACACACACACACACAGAGAGAGTAAAGCGTCAAGGGAGCAAACACACTTGGCACACTCTCCTCATCACCGGCTTAGCTCACACATAATCTTCATGTCACTAATTCAACATTGTTTCTAACACAACTCTACTATCCCACCACCCCCCCCCCCCTGCTCCTCTTCCGCAGTTTACCCACGGGCATAACGGGACTTCCTGTCGGCGACGCTGGAGACACGCTCATCGATGAGGACGGCGCTGCGCCAGTGGCCTCGTTCGCCTTCGTCGTGCCCTGGTGGCGTCAGGTGCTCTGGAGCATCCTCTTCGGCGGCATGGTGATTGTGGCGACTGGCGGCAATTTGATTGTTGTCTGGATTGTGCTGACCACCAAGCGAATGCGTACCGTTACCAACTACTTTATCGGTGAGTATGCGCGGGGCCTGTGCGCTATCAGCTATGCATCGCATCACACATACGCCATGTTGAGCCCTTGCAAAAGTTTGCTTCCGCTTTCACTTTATTTTGGCTGTAATTGAATGAGCTCTCATTTTAAGCCGAAAATTCGTGGCGCGTGCCACTGCACAGTTAATTCAATTATTTGCTTTATAAACTTCGCGCTGCGCTTGCGGCACTGCAGCGAAATGCTTTAATGTGACTGCCAGAAGCCCTGCGAAAAGCTGCATCAACTTTTCTTTTCTTTTTTGAAATATTCAATTTATTTTTGTTTCATGGTCAAGCTATTGCGACTTTTTGCAATATATTTTAAAGCCCAATTAAAAACGGTAGTAAGAACTCATTCATCATTACGATTGACTGAGTGAAATATAACGAATGCATATTTAAAGCAGTTTAAAAATATTTTAAATTTAATACATGACTTACTTATTATTTCGCCTTGGCCTGCAGCAACATCATTTTATTTGAATCTTAATTACATTTTAAGGAACACTTCAAAACTAAGGTTACGCACTTAAAGTGTTTCTCTCTCGCTCTCACTCTGACTTGCTCCCTGTCTATTAATAATGACATTGCTCTTTCATTTTGAGTGGCCCTAAATGAAACATTTCAGACTTCGTTGTCTCTCTCGCTCGCTCACTCCCTCTCCCCCTCCCAGGCAGTTATGCATATGCATGGAAGGCGAGCTGTTTATATTAAATGCAAAAGTCTGTAGGTTTTGCATGTCTATTTGTCCGACTGGCATTGCCGAAACCATTAAAAACAAAGCGCATAAAAATGCAGGCAACCCCCCGACCAACAACAACAAACAGCAAACAAAGACAACAACTGTAACAACAACTAACCCTGCACAGATGCTGTCAGTTGACTGCCTTCCGACTATTGTCATACACGCACACACACACATATGCACATCCTTACATTCTTACACATACCCGGTGCACAAGCAAAAGCCCGCCGGCCTTATGCATGCGCAACTTGACAATAAAAAGAAAAGTGCAAATGAGTTCAAATGTCGACTTCTAAATACCCTTGCGCGCACATCAATTAAGTGGGTCACAAGTCTGTCTGTAAAGCCCACTCTGTTCTTTACTGCTTTCAAGAGCACGGCCTTTCTGCCTATGCTTAGCTATAAAAAGAAATCGAAAACTATTTTCAAATATTGAAGTATAAGTACCCTTGCACGCGTATTAATTAACTGTGGTCTGCTTGTGTGCATAACATTAATTAACAGTGTATGTGCTGTGTGTAGACTACTCTCTTCATTTGTCTTCACTCTCTCTCCTAGAACGCAGCCAATCGTCAGCCGCTGTTCAAGTTCACTCTCTTTCGTTCTTCTGATCGTTACTCTCTTACTTGCACGCCATATGCAATACAGAGCGAGAGAGCAGCATTGGTGCTGCAAATATGTTCAAGCTGTCCTCCTCTCGCTGAGCGACTTCACGCTCAGAACTAATTCAAGGCAAAGCAACTATAACGGTGAGACAATGACTTGACAAAAACACAGCGAAGAAAATAGAAATAGCATGAAATGGAATAAAATAACCGCAAATGCAATGTAGTTGAGTGGCATATGTATGTATACATATGTATGTATATATTCATATTCATATGTATGCAGATGGCCGATTCATATCACGTTTTATCAGCAGTGCTTTATGCTCGCTCAAAAGTGTATCAAAAAGCAAACTAGTTGCATTGTCAGGCATCGTCCCCTTCTCGTGCTCAGCTGACCCAGCTAGAAAGTTGACTTACTCGCAAATGTCTTCGGAGCGGATGCTGTCGTCCTTCCACGCCCCCTTCACTGGCATGGGCATCCAGCCCATGGCAGCTCTTATCTGCGAGCGCAATGATTATTATTATGTAAACGAAATGCCTTGAGGCCTCAGATGTCTCTGGCAGCTATTACAAAATTTGCATTTCTAAATAGACATTTTGCCGTTATTATTAGTTTAGCAAAGTTATGCTACCGCTGAACAAATAAATTCCCAGTCACGGAACATTTGCTGATAAGACGCCAGCCTGTGCCTATGATTTGCATTATCTTTTATCATTCGCTTCGTCTGTCCGTGTTTATTCGGCATTGTTGTTATGCCTTGATTAATTATGGCGATGCGCAATCGATACACAGAGCAAAAAGAAGAAGAAAACGAGGAGCAAGAAAAACGTGCTCCAGCCAGACCGACCTCCCGTTTGTCCATCTGGTCGAGCCTGTGCAGTGTTGCCACATCGTTTGCCAAATTCGACACGTTTTGGGGCGTGACAAGAACTATACGGTAAAACAWTGCGCATTGTTATTGTTATTGTTTTTGGTTTGTTGTTCGGGTGTTGCTTTTTATGCTTATTTCTGACACTGCTTATCTACATAGATAATGAAATGTAAACAATGGCAAAGCAGCAGCCCAAAATAATTTTTTGGTGTTTTTCTTGGCACCTTTTTAATGCTCGCTCATAAAAGGAAAAGAGAGTATATTAGACTATAAGCTTCATATGCATACAATCTCTATACGCCCTTTCGATAAAGTGTTAAGACTTTAATATGTTTATGATTATTTGAGGTGTAAATTGTATGTTTAAATTATTCGTGTTGGTGGCATAGTAATTAGGAGATTACTAGATCTTTTTATTGGCTAAGATCTGCAAGCTTATATTTTGACTTTATGTTGGCATACTCTTTAAATAGATCCTAGCTGATTGTACTGTACATATGGACCTCTATACATCGACCTCTACAGATAAACCGCACCGTAAACCAGTATTATATCGTCACTATCGCCCTACTGTGATATTATATTGTGTGTGAGCCTGTTGGTCGGGAGATGTCGCCAATTGGAGCGGGACTGTGGTTTTAGCCCACGCTGTTTTTAGTGATTCATTGGAATGTAAATCGTTAGGCACTCACAAACCGAAATACAATAACAAATGTGCCAAGTAACAAATGATGGCCGACACCCTCTCCCACCCGCACACCCACACAGACACAGGCTGGCAGGCACGCACACATTCACATTCACAGACAGGGAGACAGACAAATGGCCGTTGTTCCATTTGCAGCATCCATTTAATTATGCGCTGCCTGATCCCATCTTCTCCACAAAGTCGATTGCACTGGCTTTCACACTAATTATAAATGTACGACGCATAAACAAACAAAAAATGGGTTGCTTAAATATGATGGGCTCTGCCTGTGCTATCTTTCTATGCCCTTTAGTGAAGGGTACCTAAGCTGGTAAACCAAATGTGTAACATCTATAGGAAATTAAGAAAGTTGATTTTCTGGTCTTTTGTAATTCATAATTAATATGATTGTTATTGTTATTATCAAATTATTCATATCCATATTCACCCCCATTGTCATTGTTATTATCATTGCAATTAGTGTATTAAGTATTCGCCAAGGAGCTTTTACCCTCGACAGTTGTGTCCCGTGTTTACCTTGAGATTCTGTTTCTGGCCGTTCTCTATTGGCCATTTGGATTTCCATTTGTTGGCTTTGGCACGTGTTACAGTTGTTAAACACACTTTTTGTGCTCTTTGTGTGCGACGCGTCTGTTTGCTTCTGCTTGCAGTGAACCTCTCCATAGCCGATGCGATGGTCTCCAGCCTGAACGTGACCTTCAACTACTACTATATGCTGGACAGCGATTGGATATTCGGGGAGGTCTACTGCAAGGTATCTCAGTTCATAGCGATGCTCAGCATCTGTGCCTCGGTCTTCACGCTGATGGCCATATCCATCGACAGGTAAGTGATGTATCCCACATAGCATCACAGCATACCCATACATACATACCTATGTAACGTATCYGCATATAATCAACAGATATTAGATGAGCTTGGGCTCGCCTTAGGGCGCAGAACCCTTATCAATCTTGACTTTGTGAACCCATAGCACAGAACCAGCTCGTCTAATGTGAGATATGAAATATCTGCACCCCCACTGAACATAGATAGATACATATAGACCTCTTGTCTTTCGGCATGTTTAGCCCAAGGGGTTACGACCATGTAGCTTGTAGGGTTAACCAAATGCGATGCCATCCTTCATTTCCGATTAGCGTGGGGCACGTTTAAGGCAAAAGGTTTCTTTTTTTTCAACTTTAAACTCTTTGCGAAGCTCATCAAATTTGTGACAAGCCCTGTCAACCCTTGACGCCATCAAACACAATCAATTCATGGCAATATTTCCGGGAGTATATAGGAATGCAGAGCAGAAAAGTCTTTTATTTTGCATTTAATTTATATAACATAAATCGATATTTATTACGTTTATGAGTAAACTAATTTCCGGCTTGAATACACAAAAAGGTATGCACAGCGAATGCGGGTGGTCAAATATTCATCAAATATATAAATAGCCTCTCATTAGGGGGCCAGCCCGACGTGAATGTAAATTCGCAAAGTTTTATTTAATTTGTATTTGAAAAGGATGGAAGGGTGAACCCTTCCGGTATTCCGGTCAAAGGGTCGAGGCCCACATAATCAATCCAGCAAACCCTTAACATTTCCGTTTTTATCGATGCATTGATGCATTAGCTCATTAGATAATTATCGCATTAGGGCATTAGTGCATTAGCGAGTTGCATCATTAGCTCATAAGTATAATAGCCTATTGACTCATCATTATTTATTACTATTATTCTTGTTGAGGTTGTCATTGTCTATGTAAGCATTTTTAGTTAAGACTTAATCTCATCTCTCAGCTAAGGACAATGCGCCTTGTTTATATACATATTATTATTATTTGACGCATAACCAACTTCCATCTCGTAGTCCAAGCCCCATCTACCCTAATGACTAGCAGCTCATTTCGCCCCCAATTCCATTTGGAGTTTCCCTTTGGGCGCTTTCTCTCATATTAGCTGTCAGAAGTGTCCATAGTTTCAGGAACAGGTTGGTAATGCAGCGTTCGTTAAGTGGGTGCGCAAAGGCAGGCTTAATCGGCTTACAGCCCACTTAGACACATTGTTAATGCGAGTCTCCCTCCCCCGCAGGTATGTGGCAATTATGAAGCCGTTGCAGCCGCGGATGAGTAAGCGCCGCAACCTGGCCATCGCAGCCATCATCTGGCTCTCCTCGACGCTCATCTCCTGCCCCATGCTGCTGTTCTTCAAGACGGAGGAGGTAGATGCATATATCATATCACACCTTCCCCCCGCCCCCCCCCCCAAGGTTCTCCCCAGCGGGGGGCCCCCCCCCCCCCCCCCCCCCCCCCCCCCCCCCCCCCCCCCCCCCCCCCCCCCCCCCCCCCCCCCCCCCCCCCCCCCCCCCCCCCCCCCCCCCCCCCCCCCCCCACCTCACTGTTAATATTAATTAAAACACTTTATTTGAATGCTGCTAAGGTGCCGGTGACCATGGAGAACAAGACTCGCATCGTTTGCTTCTCAGAGTGGCCCGATGGACAGACGAATCACTCCAAGCAGGAGCATATGTAAGTCAGCATGAACATGTGAAAGTGTGAGTGTAAGTGCGTGTGTGTATGTGTGGGTAAGTAAACGAGCGCATTTTGCTACATGGGAAATCGACGGGAGCTATAAATTGGGAAATTTGCGATGCGCACTGCAGCAGACAAAATCTGTGCTATCAGATTATAATGGAAGCAATGCACAGCTCACCATGGCTCACCATGGCTCACCATGGCTCGACATGGCTCGGCATATGCAGGCAAGCAATAAAAAACAGTCACGCACGGCATATAAAAAGGGGGAAGGCAGTAACTGACTGGCAAATACCCTAAAAGTTGCGATGAGAAGCCCTTCATCAGGCCAAGGAGAGCGAGGGGAGAGAGAGATAGGTCGAAAGAGAATGAGAGAAAAGTTCGAAACATATGTACATAGTGAGTAAAAAGTGATAGATAGAGAGCGAGAGATAGAAAGAAATGTATTGATAGGAAGAGGGAGAATTAGGTGCCTAACAAGATGACAAAAGGAATAGAGTAAGAAAAAATGAGAGAATGTGAGGGAGGGTAGTCCTAAAAGTAGCCAGACATAGATGAAATGAAGGAAAAATACATATAGACACATACATACATACATATATATATTTCCTCAATTGAAATTCTCTAGACAGATACTAGAGTGCCTAAGGCCTCAGAGCTTGTCAGGTTGGGGTGCAAGTGGAGCGACCCTCGCACACAGAGCGAGCAATGAGTGAATGAAAAAGTCAATGTGAGTCCACGGACTCATCACGTCACCACTCCGCCTCTGCCAGTTCGATCAATATGCTCAAAAAATAATAATATACCCTTTGTACGAATTTTCATTTGGTAGCGGAGCAACGGCCCTGTGGCAACGCTCATAAAAGACATGCAACTCTTTACAGTCATTTGGCATGGTATATATGACAAATTTGAAAGCAAATATGGGCAATCAAATAGGAGCTGCCTCGGCGCAATGCGTTCCGGGCATGCGAGACCATTAAATTGAGTTTTCAGCCATAAAAAAAGAGAGCGACCAACGCCGCATTGTGTCAGCCAACTCGGGGGGTGTGGGGCTCGTCGACCATTTGCTGAAATGGCCAAAGAGCTTACGGGCTTATCCTCGCATCCTATTTTACTTATCTGTGTAACTATCTCTATCCGTTCAGCTACAACATACTGATCCTGATACTCACCTACTTCCTGCCCATCATCTCGATGACCGTCACCTACTCCCGCGTGGGCATCGAGCTCTGGGGCTCCAAGACAATTGGCGAGTATACGCCTAGGCAAGTGGAGAATGTCCGCAGCAAGCGAAGGGTAAGTCGCATCTCCATATACCTCTCTCTATACCTATAGCCCTACACATCAGGCGAGGGGGTAGCTCGTTCCTCCTTGCTCTACACACAGTAGACGAGGGGGTAGGCCGTTCCTCCTTGCTMTACAYACAGTAGACGAGGRGGTAGGCCGTTCCTCCTTGCTMTACAYACAGTAGACGAGGRGGTAGGCCGTTCCTCCTTGCTMTACACACAGTAGACGAGGGGGTAGGCCGTTCCTCCATGCAATAGACGAGGGTACCCCCTCGTTGCTCTACACACAGCAGACATTGCTCGCTACATGCACACACACTCTTACACAGCATTCATTAATTTGAATACTGACCCAACTCGCGCCCCTCTCTCAATATATGCCAAGTTCTCATGCCCATCATCATTATCATCATCATCATCGTCATCATCACTGTGAGAATTAAATGTTTGTATTTATATATATTTGAAATTTCAATTTTCCGCTTAGGTGGTCAAAATGATGATTGTGGTCGTCCTTATATTCGGCTTCTGCTGGCTGCCGTTCCACACCTACTTTATAGTCACATCCTGTTATCCGGCTATCACCGAGGCGCCATTCATTCAGGAGCTCTACTTGGTTATCTACTGGCTGGCCATGAGCAACTCCATGTACAATCCGATTATATATTGCTGGATGAATTCCCGGTAAGTGCGAGCAACAGTTACAGCTACAGTCATAGGACTCCAGCGCATCGTCCTCGTCCCCGTCCCGGCGAACTCATTGCATATTATGTAATTTACGTCGAGTTGAGGTCGCTAAGTACGCTCGTGTGTTTACCGCCATTTTCCTTTGACGCAATCCACGCAGATGGGTCCTCGGAAAGTCACTTAGTTGCGGTTGGTCGTTTAGCTCGTTATCCGGAAATGAAGCCCGTCCATCATCATCATCGTCGTCCTCATCGTCCTCATCGTCCTCATCGTCATCATCATTATCGGCCACAAAAATAACCCCACTATCATTGACATCGACATTTACTTTCCCGTCACGTTGACTCATCCAGCAGCATATTCGTAGTTCTTCACCAAAGGCCCAAAACTATATTTAATGACAGTCATTATGCATGACGCGAATGTCGAATTGAAAGTCTCGAGCCAGGAATTTCAATTTTGACTGTGGACTGTCAATTTCGTAAAACATATATATTTCGAGACATCCATGTATTATGATATAACTATTTAAGGCTCAAGTATGACTGATTTTCAGTTGACACATGAAAGCGAATGACAAAGAGACTGTCCAAAGGATATGCCCACAGACTACAGTTGTGCTCTACTCCATTCATGCCATTCTATATTGGTCCCATTCCATTTCAGTCCAATTATTTTCATTTTCCTCGACTTCTATGGTACTCACATTCAATTTTATTCCAATTTTCTTCCGTACTCCTTCAATATTATTCAATTTTTATTTAAATTTCATATATTCTGCTTAGTCTGAGGGTTGCTCAAGCTCTTCCATATATGACATTTTGAGTCCCTGGGGCCTAGGGTCTAGGTACTTACCTAAGGTAATCCAACATTATTATTATTACATTATATTTTTATTATTTGCAATGAAAAGATTAGATTTCAAACTAGTTCCTTCCGTAAGCAAAGTTATCCAACTATTTTTGCTTATTAAGTAACTTTGGGGTTCTGGTAGCTCATGAGAACTGACGACTGCTCGAGCTAAGTATCAGCTCACCTGATGAAGCAACTTTTATTATGTGAAGCCTCGAATATACACACACGTGTGTCCACAGTACACACAGTCACACTCACACACTCACACACACACACATACAGAACATATGTATGCTCGTTTTCGTTTGCACAAATTGACTGTTGATGTTCTGTCGCGTCCGTATGCCACATCCGCCGGGGGGAAGCGTAACTGATTGCAATTAATTTGGCCCAGTCAACATGCCAATGACTGTAGCCATCGTCCAGACTGCGGCAGGTGGGGGCGGGCAGGCATCTGGGTCTGCTTTACGTGCAGCGCACGGGACTTAAGCGTCAATAGTTCGACACGTGGAGCAGCGAGCCCGGTTCCGGCGTATCTGAGTCGGCGACGCCCTTATGTAAATGATGAGCGCCATCAAGGTGTTGTTGCCTTTCGCTTTCTGCTTCTTTATTATTATTGCAGGTGGTTGTTAACGGGTTGCCCCACCCGATCCACACCCATGCGAAGCAAAGACAAACCCCACTGAAATGCCAGAGCATAAATCAAGCTACTTGCCATGGTTCAAGGTTTGTCTCTGGCTCCGTCGGTGGCTCCGACGGTGGCTCCGACTGTGGCTCTGGCTTTTGTCACCAAATCATTCCAAGGGCAAAATATTCTGTCGCAGGTGCAAATTCTCCACTTGACATGGTTGCAAAACAACTGTGACAATACCTGACTAACGAATGCCCTCTACGAATGTGGACTACATAAATCGAAATGTAAATAACAGACTAGCATATGCCCTGCGGGAAAAAAATGACTCCCAATAGAAGTGATATATGCTAACAATCTTAACGTAACGCGCGTATCCATCCATGCTTCTAATCCATTTCCCGTTTATTTCCCATCTCATTTCAATTCCATTTTATTTTCACTTGAAATATAATCATGTTCTAATTCTCTCGTTCCGCTTCGATTTCTCCCCATTCCCTTGCATTTCAATTGTACTTTATGCTGATTCCTATTCCTTCGAAATAAATTTGATTGCAACTAGATACATATTTAGTATAAGCTACTTGTAGCTTGCTTCCCTTATGCTCACAAGGGCGACAACCCCCTTTACGAAGGTATACAGGGTATGCGACTAGAATATGAGACAACTCAAAATGTAGGTGGATAGATAGGGAGATGACATAAGTGAATGGAATGCCCGACTTCTGTCCATGCTCAATCGAACTGGGAACGAGAGCGAGAGGGACAGCTACTATCGCAGAAGGACAATTCCATTCGAGGATTGTTGTGTTGCAGCTCAATAACATTTTTGCTTAACGAGCTGTCGAGTCTTTGATGCACTGTGGTGGCTGCTCTGATGGCTGGTTCGGCTGCCATTAATATTCATATTTCATCCGTAATTGAATGCAATGTCTCCCTTTGTTTTCTGTTTGCTCTGATTGCAGCTTTCGCTACGGCTTCAAGATGGTCTTTCGCTGGTGTCCGTTTGTCCACGTGGGCGCCGAGTCGCTGAATCGGCGCGAGAATCTAACCTCGCGCTACTCCTGCTCCGGCTCGCCAGATCACAATCGCATCAAACGGAATGGTATGCTAAAGGCTCGCCCTCTCCCACTCTCCCATTCTCCCACTCACTCTCTGTCCCTCGCTCTCCCTCACTTTGCAGACACGCAGAAGTCCATACTCTATGCCTGCCCCGGCTCGCCCAAGTCGCATCGCGTTTCGCATTGTGGTAAGCAGAATTGCGCCTGGCAAGCGATTCCTCAGGTTACTAACCTTTGCCTCTGCTTCGACAGGTGTGCTGCGCAATTCGGCGCCGCGCTCAGGTGAGAAGGACGACCGGCTGTCGCTGCCCGTGGTGCAGCAGCAGCTGAGCAGCGGCAGCAGGAGCAGCGCCCGTGCCCACAGGTCGCCCTACCAGCAGGAGCTGCAGGAGCGCTGGACCAGCGACAAGTCGAGCAGCTCCCTCACCTCGGCAACGGAATCTCGCACCACGCAGCTGCTCTCCTGACAGCCAGCGCCAGCGTCGGCCGAGCAGAGCCTGGAGCTGCAGATGCCGAGGCAAATCGTGGGCAACTCCAGCAGCAGCTACAACAACAACTACAGGCGCATCAACAGCGGCGCTCCACCGACGACAGCCGACGACAGGACTTGGCTCTAGATGTGCCCATCTTCATATGAAGTCTCGAATTTATCCCTAGTGAATGACTAATCGAAACCAGAACAGCTGGCTATATCCCAGATATCGCATTATATCTCATACAACTCATATATCTCTGCTGCCCGAGCTGCCCACGGAGCGTATGAGTGATGCTCTGAGGAAAACTCAACTAGAAGCAGCAGCTCGCGGCGCGAGTGACGCTACTCGGCGCTAGATGGCGCCAGCTACAGGAGAACTGTCGATCAGCCAGCTAGATGTGTTGCTGTAAACCAGCGCTAGGTGGCGTCCTCACTCGCTTGCTTCTCATATCCTATTACGAATATTTACGATATACTTGCGGCTTTATCAAATGCATATACAATACTATCACAGTGAGTGTTAATTACAGCAATTTTGAGGATCTAAATGTGCAAATGCGAAATGATATGCGATATGATATGAATTGAATAAATACGTACGATTAAGGTGTTCAAAGTCGAACTCGCATGCGATTTCAAAGCAAATGAAGACTTTTCACAGCTCTTTACCCCCTTGTTGTCTGTATATAAGCTAAGGCGAAAGTTTCTGTATATACATATAATGTAAGTTTGTTTCTCTCTCTCTGTGAATTGTGAATAAAGCATCTTACTCGAAAGCCTCAAGCCTCCATATATTGCATTAACTATTTATACAATAGGGAGATACACACACACGCACACACACACACACACAGTGTTAGCATAGGACGCAACAGATTGATGAAATCTCAACCGATTAGCCGAGCGGAGCGTCGCAGCTTTGGGCCAAGTTTCTCTGTCAAAAGAGGAGAAAAAATTCATATGTAAATATAAATAATTCGTTTGCCTAGCGGCCAAAACAACGATTTGCCAATGTTGCAAAAATGTCTGTAACATACTTAAGGCATACGCAGCCTATACACCCTTACACACACACACTCACAGATATGCTAGATAGTCAGCTTGAAGCTGTACTTATGCACGCTTGGATGGGTATGATAAAAGAGAGAGAGTATATTGGTTGAGCTACACTCGCCTCTCGCTTGAATCGAGTGTAGTTAGAGACTTGAAATGTGGTATATTTCTGAGTTGAGGTATGCTATAACAGAGGGCGTGGCAAAAGGGACTTGGCTGCAGCTCTTGAGCTTGATTCGATAGGGGATTGACTGTTGTATTGTTGTTGTATACCTCGATCACTTGAATATGGAAAGTGAGTGTATGATGAATATGTTTAAATAAGATGATATTACTATGATATTCAAATTTAATATCCTAACCATACAATTGATAACTCCAAATAATTCTATATTTATTAAAAAAAAAAAAAAGCCCATAGGTCACATACTTCGCCTACGCTCAGAAGGGCATATAATCAAACATATTTTAAGTTTCAACTTATCTTTGTTGGCTGAGCGCGTATTCGACAGTCGATGATGCTCAACCTTCCAGTTATTGTTGCTGCGCTATAAATTTTTGATAAGTAACAAATTTTTGAATAAATTGCATTCGCTTTTATTTACTTTATCTGTGAGTGTGCGCATGTATGTGTGTGTGTGTCAAAGTAATTGAGCATCTGAGCTCGTCTCCTGCGCCTCCTGCACCTCCTGCGCCTCCTGCGCCATGGCCAACGCGAACGAAATCGCTTGAGGCCTGCGCCACTAATATTTGCATAGATGTGCGCACACAATATATGTCTCCTATGAATATCCAAGTACACACACACAGACCCACTCATATGCGCGTGTGTGTGTGCTATTGAAATGTGTATAATACAACTCGTATGCCAAAATATTTATTTATGTAGCAAAAATCATGCACTTACGCTGAGCGAAACGAATTTGTCGATTTCTCAAGTCCTTGCGGCGCTGCTGCTCCATCCGCCTCCTGCTGCCCCTTGCTGCTCCTTTATGGCATAAAGCACGCATATCGAGCATCTATCGAGCCAGCGCCAGCTGTCGCAACAATTTATTAATAATGCATTAATCGCTTGCAGCTAATTACAAACCTGAAACGTTGCCCCACAAAATGCATAATAAATTTGGTAATTTTGCAATTTCGCAATTTGTGCTTTAAGCGAATTATAAATTGCAGCTAGAAATGCATTAGCCTCAGCCTCAGCTGCCCATATAAATTCAGTTTAATTGACTTAGCTAAGCCGTTGGATGCCAAAGCAAAGGCCAGGCAGAGCCTTGACAGCAAACAGCATTTGGCTTCGAGCTGGTTCACAGCATAAAAGATTCAAGAACTTAAGTTTTCCTTTCCATTTGGTTGGTGGAAAGCGTTTAAGTAAAATAATTAAGGTGAATGGCTTGCGAAAATATAGGTCATATTTCATTTATTAAGAGGCAATAGAACTTTATATTGACTGCTCCAGCTCGAAAGTGATTTCCTTCCGAATTTTCTCAGTTGACTTGAACCTCGAAGGTTGAAGGTGGAGCTGGAATCAACTTTCGCACCAGCACTTCGTATTTGGTTAGCTTTCTCATGGGCCAGTTCTCGTACCGAATGAAGCAGGCCCTCTGCGAGAGGTACAGAGTGCCAATGAAGAGTCCGCCATCCGTGCGAGCGCGGCAGATGTAGACGCGCTCATTTGTGACGCTTGTGCCCACAGAGACGGGATTCTTCTCCCTGAAGCCGTCGAAGCTGCGCACCCACTCATAGCTGAGGGTCTCATTGCTCACCAGAAGATCGTAGGAATTCGCCTGATTCGAGCCTGAATCGCTGTTGTAGGTGGCATAGCCAGTCTCGGCCCGAACACGCGCTGGCAGAACCGAACTTGCGGCAATGATGCGTCCCACGTAGTTCTCGTAGCCCTCTGAGTCGTAGCCGCCCAGCACAGCGTTCTCGGGAAAAGGCTTCGTCTTGTCGGAATCGACCCACCTGTCTGTAAAGTCGAAGACTCCGCCGTGAACTGCGACCAGCAGCTGAGCAGCAATTAGGGCAAAAGCAAGGAGTTTCGTTGAGGAATTCATGGTGCGAATGGACTGATCGTGGGCGGTTTTGTCTGGATTGTGACTTGGGCACGCCCCTAATATATGGCTGGTCAGTGTGGTAGGGAATCACTTTCCGATAAGTGGGTTTATGCAATAAATCTTGATGTAGCTAGAGGAATACCTTTCTGACCGATTACGATCGATTGATAAGATACGGATAGACCTATCTCACAGTGCAAAACTCGTCATAACTAAAACGTTGCATTAAAATGCCGTTTAAGGGGATAGATAATAAAAGACTATTAGTAATTATTTCTGGAATTGATTTTGAGTGTCGTTTAGCCATAAATTATCAATAGCACAGGAAATAACTAAAATAAAGGCTGTTGAAGATGCACCTTTCATTTGTAATCAAGTCGAATGTTCTCTAGTCTAGTTTCTCTATATCGAGTCTTGTTAAACTTAGTTAGCCTCTCAATGAACATATTAATCCACCCAAGTAAAATCTCTTCTATTTTTGCACAAAGCAACAATGAATGATCCCACAAGACTCGGCTAAGACTTAGCAAAGACATTGCAAACTCCATGTCAAGCCACAATGGCTCAAGATTTGTCAGATGCGAGCCCAATACTTCCTTCCTCTATCTCCCTCTCCCTCTCTCTTTCACAATCACCCCGCTGTTTGTGAGTGGCTCTCAAAGGAAAATAAATTCTGTAGTTTTGCATATTTTTCACACATTTCCTGTACTTTAAAATAAATATCAATAAAAAGTGCTTGGCAAATCGAACTTATGGCCTCTTGCATAAGCAACACTTCGAGAGCGGGAAGCTGCATATAATATATATAAGTACATATAATATATATAAGTATATATACTCGTACAGATATAAATATATTTATAAACTTCAATAAATCTTAAATCGCTGTCATTGCCTTAATATCTAAAAGCCAACACATACACACACACACACACACACACACACACACACACACAAACAGACTCCTTTGTAAAGTCAAAGGCCAAACGTCTGTGGCTGACACCATTCGTTGCCTACTTTTAAGCGCAGCACAAGTGCAAGAGCACACACGCATACACGCATACACGCACGCACACACACACGCGAGCGCTGAAGCGGAACCGGAAGACAAAGGCAAAGGCGAAAGTTTTTGGTGTGAATGGCTGAAAACTGCGCAGCGCTCTTTAAAAAAACACACACACACACACAATTGATGGCCATGTCTAATGTGTGCTCATAAGCACATGCATGTGTATGGGTGTGTATACATACAAGTGTGAGCCAGTGTGTGTGTCTCTTTATGCAAATACATTAAATAGGCCAACTTTTGTAGAGTTTGTAATATGAATGATGTAAGCCGCATGTATGCCCCAAACACACACACACACACACACACACATACACGGAGTGTGGTGCAAAGTGGTTTTTTGGTTTGGCTGGCGCAGCTATAATTGAATCGTCCGGTTATGCAGCCGCGCAGCTTTGCACATTGCAGCGCAGCGCTGAGCCCAACCGCCGAGCAAATTATATTTTAAGCGAACAAAAATACGAAGCAATTTGCTGTGGGTGGATGCCGCGGATACGGGTGGATACGGGTGGCTACGAATGGTTACGGGTGCCTGCTGTGGTTGTGGGTGGTGCCAAGAACATTTTACAAATTTGCTGCTGTTGCTGCTGCTGTTGGTGTTGTTGTTGTGCTCTTGGCTCTGTTTAATGTGTTCGTCTTGCCTTGCATCGACACGTCGCCTTGCGTCGCGCCGCGTCCCTCGCATTGCTTGGCCCCACTGATTGCAGGTATGCCTGCTGCCGGACGGCAAATAGTTTTATTGCTGTTCTTAGCTAAAATAAGAAATCGAATTTCATTTAATTGAATTTCTGCGCCATTGGCATGCACGTTCAGTGTCCGACCCACGAGCTGAACAGGACTCGTGTTTGCAGCACGTGAGCGGAAATTCGAAAACAACATCATAAAATATCTAATACAGGTCTATTCATACAGGTAAGCGGCTGACAGATATACTATGGATCAAGCTCGAGTGCCCTGAATTCCTCAACTTCTTTGACTGATGGACATAAATTGTGCATGCAACACAGATCAATGTAGCGACTTGCGTCCGTCTGTCCGGCAGACTGTCCTTCTGCCTATATATAAGAGCAAACATACAGAGAACCTATGATATGAAGGTTCCTGGATAGGGCTTAAAAATCGAGCCAGCTACTACTTATCAAGGTGGCTGTTAACTCTTCATTATATACCATTTCATTAACAAAGTCATCGATCACGTTGCAAATTATGGAGCTCTAGCGATACCCGCCAATGAGTTTGAATACATGTTCTTATATGTGTATACACCATCCATTGAATATTAAGTAAGCAGAAGAAACCAAAAAATTTATATAATTTTGACCAGAACAACAAGAAATACCAGGCGAAC